CAGTCAGATGGCTGATTTTTTACAATTTTTTTAAATATCAATATTCTAGCTATAAGTAAATTACAATCATTTATGTTAGAAACATTATAATTTCAAAAAATATAAAAATGTAGCATAAGTGTCAATGCATTATATTTAAAAAAATATTTTTTTWAATATTAATTAGAACAAAAGTTATTTCATTTGTCGGAAAGTTAGACCTCCGTGGGACACCTTGAGTATGTATTTTGWATGTTTTAAAATGCACTGTGAGTTTAATTAATTCTTTATTTAAACTCAAAAATAAATAAATTTCAGTCTTATGAATAGGGCCCRGAAGTTCATGCATTTGTGCATRAAAATTTGTTTTTCATTAATATTTCATAGAAATTTCAGACTTTGGATTGTTCAAGTTAAACGGTTWACATTAGATTTTTCTTTATCRTACATAAATACTAATAGGTATTAATGTCATTAGACATTTTTAAAGCTGTACAAGACTATCAAAATTCAAAAATATAAAATTACCCATTTAATAAAATGTCTACAGATGGTAATTGTATTAAATAACACTCACTTTTTCTAAGGTGGCAACAAAACGCCGTTGTTTGCAAGTCTGATTTTGGTACTCTACTTTCTCATCTAATTTTAAAAATGATGAAGGATCTGCTGGATTATCTGATAAAGGTGAAGTCATAGGCTCAGTTCTATTGTCAATTCGATCACATGTGAATGGTACTTGATGTACAATTGCAACATCATCGGCCATATTATCAACCATATCACTAAGTGTATCTTTTTTCACTGAAAATAAAGGAGTTAATATAATAAATGAAATAGGTGAATTCTAACTTTTCTAAATTTACGCCAATACTAAATTTTACGGAATTAATTAGTTGCTAGTAAATATAAAAATTACTTAAGAAAAACACTACTCATGTGTTATGTAGGTTAAATAGCTAATAAATATTTAATAATCATGATTAATGATTTAGGAAACAAATAAAATAGCTGACAATAATTTTTATGATTATATTGCAYGATCATAAATAAAATAATATTATTTATCATTTTTATACTTTTTATTGAACTATCCGATATGAGTATCAAAGAATACTTGGCTGCTTGGTATGCTGCGTGTACATTATTGATTTTTGGATTAACACCTACTTGAGAACCACCTATAAAACATAATTCCAAAGATATAATACATAAAAAAATGCAAAGAAAATAATATTTTATCAAAATAAAAATAAAAAATTTACTTGAATTCAAGAAACTACTTTGATACAAATATATTTAAATACCTAAAAATAGTCGAGCATCTACTGATGGATACATTTCCAATAGCCTATTGGCTACCATAGCAGCAGGATCATTTCGGTCAACCACACATATTAATACTTCATACTGTAAATGATTACCATATATTTTTAATWAAAAAAAACAACTTACATCATCTTAAAAATATATAATATTACCATTGGGTATTCCATTTGAAAGTATGAGCTTAAGTTGACAAATAGATTAGGATCAACACCCAATAAYGGTTTCAATATACTAACACCTGGGTATTGTTTTTTATTATTTCTGGGCAAACCATGCTCTAAAGATACTAGAGATGGTATCAACTGTACAGATGATTCTGGTTTGGGTTTTCTGTAGAGTTTGAATCTCCTATTAATGAAGATGTAATAAGATTAAAGGTGGCACTTTTTAACCGTGGATACAATGAAACAATTTAACCATTAACATACATTTATCGATTTAAATATAGGTATACAAATAATTTATAGTAATTACCCATAACATATTGCACTTATGTGGACAAGCCAATAACCGCACCAGAATATAAGCAGCCCGCAAGCCAATAGTATGTCATAATCGACAAACATTGGCGGTGGTATCAGTTGCATTGTTAGTTCTGCCGTTCCTCCTTACTATTGTATCCATCTACAAGTAATATCTTCTCCGAACRCTGGAACACCTAAATACAACTCCGCGTTCACATAACAATATTTAAGACACAGTGTAGCTGGTATATGGTTTATCGGTATTAGGTATGTATTATCGTCGTCGGCAATGGGTCGCTACGACACGAGAAAACAACCATAGGAATGCAACACACTTTGGCGGTAAAACGACGGTTCGTCCGTCAGGCGCTCGCTACTGGTCGTCGGCGAATGACAATCGACATCGTCTATTCGTCTCACGGCGTAACGAAAACGACGGCCAGCCGAAAACAAATTTCATACGGCAGCGGCGATTGCGTAACATCTTTATTATCAGCTAATACGTTTTTACCGAGAGGGCGAAACGTGTGCGGTGTCATTGGTAAGTGAGAAAATATGTAACATGACGCCTCGTGTACAATGTACGATAATATTATTTACATACGTACAATGTATCGTATGTACGGTAGAGACTGCGTGAGCAATAAGTAATAACCGAACGATATTGTTGCATAATGCGTGCCCGACGTCTGATAAGCATTACCCATTAATTATCATTATTATTACCACTACAGCTACACTATAATATTGTTGTTGTTGTTGTTATAAATTACAAATCCGCTTGATAGTGGGGCACGCGGGTGTTGGCGCTAAACAGATAACAGTTCCGCGTCACCGACGGCAGCAGCAGCAGCTGCTAGTTGCTACAGCAGCCTCGTGAATACCATAAATTCATGGTTGGTTTGCCGCTATCGCATACCAAACTCTGAAGCAAGCATTGCTGCAGATGTCGCCGTAATAATAACAGTATTGTTATCACGTCGAAAGTGATCGAATGATAACGATGTTTCCGTAGATCATCATCGTTACAACATCAGATAGATATTGTTGTAATTTAATGGCTATATAATAATTAATAATATTATTMATATCGTTCGAGAATCCGTTCTCGTTGCCAATTCACTAAACGTACGTGMGTGTGAGTGGACTGTGAGCGTTGCTTATGATGCGATAGAAAAAACCACGAATTCACAGGCCGCGTCGACTTTGCCGGACGTGTGCTGTGAATCGATTTAATTAGGGAACTTGGCGCGCGCGCGCGTAAGCGTGTTCGTGTGTGTTGATGTATTATAATAAKTGTGTGTAGTACAGTATTATTATTATACACGCGATGCACGTGAGTTGGGACGAAAATTAATCAAAAATCGACGTCGGCGTACCGGAGGACGAATAATATTATTATCATTATTACCGTCCGGCACGGCTAATTTCACMAAAAGCTTCGGTCCTTCATACTTTGCGTACCTAATTTAATAAATACGCGGACTGCGTGACTGTAGAGTAACGACTAACGATGGTATTCACGGAGTCGTCGTGATATATTTTGGGCATAGGACAATATTTTAAAAACATTTTTACCCAGAAACTCACCAGTAACAATACCATGATTTCATTGTTAATACCATAATAACTGAACAGTGAGAAGCCAGAAAAATGGAGGAGGTTAAAGGGGGCACAGCCCTTCCATTGACTACATTTATTTTTATTGTAATTTTATTTTAATTATTCGTCGTCGAAAACTTAAAACGGAAAACATGAATCATAATATAGTATTAAGCATATGAAACCACGTATTAAGTGTTTTAACAATTAAAATTAGTATTAGATAAACTACCTATATTGTACAAAATATATCATTATTACATCATTAAATTTAATTAAATGTCTATCGTTAGTTAAAACGTTTTAAAACCCCACAAGATGTTTGTTTTCACATATAATACGCGTATATATGGTAACTGGTAATTAACTAGTTCCCTACTAACTGTTAACTTAGATATTCGTTCACTGTTTGATTTTTATTTATTTAAATAAAAAAACAATAATAAAAATTAAAATGTTTCTTAATATTTYTTGAAATAATAAGTTTGTGCGTCCAAAAATCCCCATATTATATTTATATTGTTATATATTATATACCCGAAATTAAACCATTTAACTAATGACTTAATTTAATCGCATACTATTATCACCTACGAACCTATCATAAAATAATAAAGTTGTTACAACCTTTTATTTACTACTATTTGTATTTCAAAATAAATAATATATCAAATATTAAGTATACAAAATTATACAATATACTACATGACTAATTTATAATGGAAAAAATATATAACTGCGCCTAATTTTAATTAATTACGTTTAACCAGAAGGAAGCATTACAAAATCGCGAGACACGTCGCCACTGTATTATATTATTTATATTACCTATATTTATATAGTCCAACCTGGTCCGTGGGTATCAAGCAARAAGTCTATCTAGCCGCATTAGATATTGAACAATAATAAAAATATGTATGGGCGTTTAAAAAAGGTATTCGACATAATGATGTTGGAAAAAATATTAGATACATACATATACATTATTTAAATTGGCCGATCATTGTTATAGATTAGATGATAAATATTAAATGTGATAACTAGTAAGTAATCAGATGATCATGAGAAATTACTATATGGAAAAACTACTGTGAATTTTCAATTTTGATCTGTCAGATATAACAACTAAATTCTATTCTTMATAATGCTGATTATTATTATTAAATTAAAGTATTATTTTTTTTATTAGAAAAATGTTTATTTAGACAGAAAATAACACACACACAATGTATAGTCAATTTAATATCATTCCGTAGTCCGCTAAGAATCTAAAACTTTTTTCATAAAGTTTATTTAGTTATTATAATATTTTAAAGACAATATTTTTTGCACTTATTTTATTTTTGCTATATTCAATTTGAATCATAAATTCCTAAGCTATCCTCAAATCTTCAAACACATATCATTATTTTAGATTTTGAGCGGAGCGAGGAATGTATTGATTTTACAATGATGTGTGTTTTTGTTGTTGTGTCTGTCATCACGTTTTGGGGCAGTAAAAATGCTTCAACTTTCGATTTCAGTATCTTGTTAGATCAGAAAGTGGATCTAGTTGATACTTTGGGGGGTCAAAAGTAAAATTCCGAATTTTTCTTAATAATCGGAATAAACAAACTAAAAATTAAGGAAAAAACGGGAATTTGTACGCACTATCAGTTTTCGACAAAATTGATTTTGGTTTTTATGTAACTTAAAGAATATAAGTATATTCTATCCACCATACAATTTTCAAAAAATTTCGATTCAAGTTRAACTGTTTATAGGAAATTTTCGATAATTATAAATTTTTTTTAAAAAATTAATACCGATAAAAATGTATTTGTTGGGTAGAAAAACTTGAAAATTTAATACAAGACTTCCAACATGTTGTTATAGTAGCAGTTGAAAAATATTAAAAATACATAGGTAGGTACGATTTTTTTTTTACAAGCATTTAAAGTTCAAATATTTACTAAATACCTACGTAAAAATTATGGCAATGTTCAAATTATCTTAGATAGAATAATTCATAAAAAATTTTCTTTTTAAAATCTAAGATTTTAAAATTTAATTCAGGATTCCWTATATGTTTGTCTACCTTTATCAAAAAAGAAATGTCCACCGGAAAATCAAATGTTTTAATAAGTATTAATAATAAGTAATAATAATCTGTAATATAGACATTCTATATAACAGTGGCGTAATTAGGAATTTGTCTTAGGGGGGG